TGACACGGCACTGCTGTGTGCAACCGTCTACTCGGCGGGGTCGCAGCTGCCTCTGGAAGGCACCGAGATGTACCTTTTTCGCGCAATGGTCAAAATCAAGGTTTTGTAACGCGAGCTGTGCCACAGTGAAATGGAACTAGCCACATGGATGGGGGCGGCCGGCGCGAGCGGAGAACGGCGGGCCGAGATCTCGCTGGTTTTGGCAGGAAACAGCAGGCGCCAAGGGGGGCGTGTGAGCCTCGGTACCCTAGAAACACGAAGAGTTTACATAGCATGTAAGAGTATCCGGCCCCCACCGGCCACCGCTCTCCTGCGGCGCGCGCACGCTCGCGCGAGGTGCCGAGGTCTCGCCACTTAACGACGCAACAGCCAACACGCAAGCACTATTCTACGAAAGTGGCACTATTTGCTGCGGCTCGGCGGGGCGCCGCCGCACGAGGCGCGCCACCGCGATGCGGCGGCGGAGGAGCTGCCACCACCGCCGGAGCGGTCCCGCATCGCAAGGCACGGCTCCCATGCCTGTTAGAACGAGGCGCAAGCTGACCTCACGATGCTCCCCGGAGCCGGGTAGAGCCACCGCCACCGTGTCAACAACATACTACTAGTGCTCAACCAGGAATTGTCCAATTTGCTGTGGCGACATTTGTGCCTCTTTGATGCGCTTGATTGACAATATACTGGCGTTTGAACCGTGGAGTGCGTGCACATGCAGATGCCCTTCTCCAAGTGCAGCGGCGGCCCGCTTGCCTGGCTCAAGTGCAATACTGTGCCCACCCCCAACGCCAGTGAGCACCCCCTCCACTGCCCCAAGAGCCGGCCATACACAAAAGGTGCTAGGTGGGCAGATGGAGAGTTGAGCGAGGGCGATGCGCGACATCGCCCCCACCGTCGTGTCCTTGTCATGGATTCTGACCCTTGGGCCGTGCATCTTCCTCGGGCCGGTCAGCCCGCTTTGGAGTGCGGGGAGGAGCACTTCAAGGATGTCGTGGCACTGCTTGCCGTGCTTGCAGTCCATGGCTCGGGTCTCGAGTTTGCTGCTGCACTTCTCAACGAGCGGTGTTGTGACAATGCCCACCGAACGCGGGGCAAGTGGGCGCAGGTAGCGAAGAAGCACACTCAATGGCACAAACCCAGAATTGAGCGGGCCCCGTGACGCATCCATTTCCATAATGTCCCCACAGCGAAAGTGGATGACGGCATCATCGAGGTCATACGTGTACTTCTGCGTCTTTGAGCCGTTGCTTGCCAACACCCCCTTGCGTGCATCCGAATAGCGCTCGGCTGCGGCTCGGATCTCGCGACCCCAAACGGCGGCAAATAACGGCCAACCGTAAGTGCAAGCATGCGTGATGATCGTGCGACATTTGCAGGTTCCTTCTATTTCCCGCATGATCGTGCCGGGGTCACGAGGGACCTCGGGCGGCCAGTTCGGAGAAGCACTTTGAGGCAACCAACCGGTGATGTATTTGGGCGAGTCCCGGATGATAGGGCCACACGTCGGCTGCATCTGGAATCCGATGCCATGCAGCAAGGCCAAGGCTCGAAGAGTGAAGTATAGTGGCAAATGATTGCCGACAGAATCGGACGTGCAAAACCACGATGGCGCGTCGATGATGAGGACCGGTGCGGGAGAGGAGTTCTTAGCGGCGGCAGCAGCGGCAGCGGCTTCGCACGCGGCCGATTGAGGCTCGTGGAACTGTTCAGCACACGAATGGTGTATGTGAGATCACACGGAGTGTCTGAGTCTACTTGAGCTGAGTTGAAGGGCGCACCGAATCTCTTGGGATCTTCACCACCACATCACGTCCCTGAAAGCGCCACTCGGGAAATTGCCCCTTTGCTGCGGCGTGGGCGCCCGCGAGGGCGAGCAGGAAGAACATGATGCAGCAGCGGACGCGTCTCGCGGCCTCCTCCATGGCAGCGGCTGTACCTGCGAGCGTGAGTAGGCAGGCGGTAAGGCGAGGCCGCGAGCGGCTGGGTTGATGTCGTCGACGGTTTCTGCCTGCGCACTCGTGTGGTGCGTGTAAGTTCAAGCCTGCATGTGAGTAAGTGCGGCTGGGCGGAGCGACGCACCGGCAGGGCAGACGTCGACAGAGCGACGAGCAGCAACCCGGCGAGATTTTTCAGAAGAATTCTACGACAAGCCCCTCTCACAGCAGACTGGCACGAACTAGATTTTTCAGAAGAATTCTTCACCCGGAGAACTGTGTTTACTTTAAGGCCCTTGCCCTGCGAACGCGCACCCCCGGGGCTAGGGCTCTCTTGCCCGCAACCCGATCCCGATCATCCGGCCCGCTGGGTGCGCTTCTGAGCTCCCCGGCCCTGGATGTGAGGCTAATGATTGCACTCCAAGTGCTCCAAGTGCGCAAAGGCAGCGGCAAGGGCGGCGGCGGCAGCGGCGGCGAGGGCGGGCGCGGCAAGGGCGGGCGCGGCAAGGGCGGCGAGGGCGGGCGCTCTGGGGGGAGGCGGGGGCCCCCGGAGGCACCGTGCGCCGCGCAGCAGTGCGGAAACGGGGCTCCGGCTCCGTTAGTCTCCGTTAGCACCGACTTCCCGATCTAACCTGGTCTAACAGAGGGCAGATTTGGAGAGATCTCGAGGAGTACATACAGATAGACCCTCCAACCATAAGGAAACTCCGACCTGATCGGTCGTACTGACCGCCGACAGATCACTCCAGACAGCAGACAGGCCGACGTCTGCACACGGCCGGCCGGGCGAGAGGCTTGACACGATCCGACCCTGCGACCCTGACGCTGCTGCTCTAGCTATCAGACATGCGCTGCTGACTGCTGCCACAATGTGCGACCGGTGCTGACCCACTTGGCGGCCTTCCCGGTCAGTGGTGAGGCGCAGTTCAGAGCTGTCGATGGCGCGATGCCGCACTGGTCCCACATCGGTGACACGAGACCACCACGTTTGCCGGTCCAAGAGAGAGGCACCGGCGCTGTCCTGAGAAGGTGCATGGTCCCTCTTGACTGCCCATGCGCGCGAGGCTGTGTAGGCATAGCCTCGAGAGTGCCAGCAGCCAATCCGAGGCAGTTTGTGACGCGCATTGCGTCAGAAGCGTGCACGCGCTGGAAGGACACCTTCCTACTGGCCGTACGATCAGGTCGTCACTGAATGCAACAAAAGTTGTTTGGCATTGCTAAAAATCTCTCTCTCTCTGAATGCCGAAGACTAAGGCCGCGAGCTATGCAGGCGGTCAGTTGAGCAGCATGGCACGGTCAGCAGCGCCGAAAGGATGTCGCAAGGCGTGATAGCATGGCCGCAAGTACGCCGAATTCCAATGAAAACAAGTAAAAAATCGCGCGAAAAAAGAAAACATGCAACAAAAACCTCGCGCCATCTAAAGATATATTGGTCCACCCAGCCTAGTCGACTAATTCACGTTTCCGCCTCGGAAAAATACTTCTAGTACGAAAAAAAGCGCGCAGGCACACCGTCGAAAACGGCTCGGCGAGATCTATCGATTGGCACTATTTCCGAAAAATCGACTAGATTTTCCTCCCCCGGACCTCCCCTGCGCGCCGCAGGCGAAGCGAAATTCGGCTCCCTGCGTCGGTCTGCGCTCAATCTGGACTCGATCTGGGGCACCTATACAAGCCCAAGCATAGGTGAGGCTTAGGGCGCTAGGATCGGTCGCCAGGACGCGACAGAGACCGGCACCGGTCCGCATCATCCTGCCAGCCCGCATCAGCGCGCGCAGATCGGGGGGGATGGCTTGCGCAGGACCCCCAAATTGAGTGAGTGACGGTCCTATTCGGTCTCGCCCTCCGAGCTCGGCGGGGGATGGGGCGGCTCAGTGCGCGAAGCGGCACTGGTCCCCCTGCCTGCAATAGCCGGCAGCGAAGAAAGAAGCGGCACTGGGGGACTCCGGCCTGCTCGCTCGTGAAGTCGTCGCGAGCGCTGTCGGTGTCGCAGTCGCCCGACTCGGAGTCGCCAGGCTGGCTGAAGATTCTCCGGTTATACTAACCTGTGAAGCGTGAACAGCGTCGAACATGAGAAAAAAAAACGTGAAGCAGCAACCGATCGGGAAAGAGGTCACGATGTATTTGCTGCTTGCACCGCTCGTCCCTGCCTATCCCCACACTCTCGCGGGCTGTGGCCCGCGAAATATGTACGTCGACCTTGGTGCCTCTTGGTGCAACACGCTCCAACTGCATACGCAACTCGAGGAAGCTGCGGCGCGGAGCGGACCGTGGATGGTGTTCGCCTTCGAGGCAGCGCCGCTCATCGCGCCGTATCTCGAGAGCTGCGCGGTAGAACTTGCTGCCGGCCGCCCGATCCCTCCGGCGCCAGTGCCGCCCACCGGCTCGTTGGCACTAGATCATCGCAGAATCGTCACTAGACCCGCAGCGGCCACAGAGTGATTTCATGCCGCGCACCTCGCCATGCGGCAGTCACTCGAGCAGTCACGGATGCGTGGTTGCACTCGAGCCCTTCGCCTTCACCTCACAGGTTCCACGGCGGACTTCCTCGAGTATGTGCGCTCCCACGATAAGTTGCGAGTCTGCAGCAAGGAGGGCGTGCGCGCCCCGCGCCGCAGGCCCGCCGGAGGCTCCCCGGCCGACACACCCCGGCCGTATTCGCTCGTCCACTCCTCGCCCTTCTCGCGCCCCTCTCGCGCCCCTCTTGCGCCCCCCTCTTCCCCGCCGGCCCCGAGAGACTTGGCACGCACCTTCCGCCCCCGCCCCGCCTCGCCCCCTCCCCAAGGTGGCGCCACATCAAGGAGTGCGTCTTTGCGCTGCCTGAGATGGTGAGAAATATGACCTCACTCTCGGCAGATCCTGTGCTTGGCAGCCGCGAAACGGTGGACGCCCGGCTTGCGGCGGCAAGGCTCGTTAGATGTCGAACACACTGGAGATTAGGAGCACTGATGAATCTCTCACTGTTCTCCCCAGCATATATTCCACACTACTAGGCGGGGCAGTGCCCGGAGCGGCACTCCATTACAGTGATAAACGCCGCCGCCAGCGATGAAAACGGGACGGCCAGAATGGGTGGTGGCATCGAACAGCTGATGGTCGGAGGCTCAAAGCCACTTTTTGCTGGCCGTGCCCCAGCTGGCCTGTACATGCACAACGAGTCCATTGGCGGCGAGGCGCACCGGTCGCGCTGGAACGTCCGCTCGGTCGACATTGTACGGTGGATTGAGCACAACGTGCGGCCGGAGGAGCCCTTCCATGCTCAACTGCGGACATGGAGTGTGAGGAGAACGCTCACAGGCTTATATGTTAGTTACATGGGGATAGGACTTCTTTGTGCTCAAGATGGACGTCGAGGGCTTTGAGCACAAACTGGTCCCTTCCATGCTGGAGGCGCGCCTGCACTGATGAGTAGCTCACGGGACTTATGCCTCATGTCTCAGGAAAATAATTTGGCCTGGCCACCCTGCACCGGCCTGCCAGAATGGAGTCGTGTGCGAGAGGTAAGGGCCTCCGCGATCATCCTCACCACACCCCATCTCAGGCCAATCTCACCGGCCTCATCGACGTGTTCGTGTGGGAGTGCCACTACGGGTTCCCTGGCTCGAAGTGCCACTCGCTGTTCGCGCGCGCGGCGTCGGTGCCGGGCTTCCTTCCCGCGGCAGACCAGAGAATCCATGCAGAAGACTCGCTAGTGGCAGCGTCTGACTCAACCCTCGCTACGACTAGGCGGTCTACACCGAGAGCTTGAGCAGGGGGCACTACGAAAAGAAGCTGTCGCAACAGGGGCAACGATTGTCTGGGGGAGCGCGGCGCGGCTAGGGTGTGTACCTAGGTGCGGGCCCCCGCGCTCTAGTCGATGGTGCTGGCGGCGACGGGCTTTGCGCCCGACGCGAGGCCGCGCTCGCTTGCAC